ATCGTATTATTATTCGCTCGTAAAATATATCAAGTGATTTTATTGTTTAAAATGTAGGTTAACAATTGATTTCCACATTTTCCATATAAATCACAACGTGTCGGGCGCAGTATAAAAGTAAAATCATGAAGTGCAGCACGCTATGAAAGTGTTTCCACAGGCTACACCGAGAGAATATTTTTTGTTCGCTCGCGTGTTTTACATGATTTTGTTACAATCGAGCGAGGATCTGCAGAGAACTTGTTGTGATGTGGTCATCAAAGAAATTAAAATGAAAAAATATTATTCAGTTTAGTTCGACCAATGTTTCGCAATTAAGAGAAAACACAGGATTTCGATCTTAGATAAAGTTTAACGACACTCAATTCAAACTCAAGATTCCCGTAGGTAGGTAGGTATGTTATTGGTCCGATTGAACCATCAGATGCCTAACTGATAATGGCAGGTCTTAAAGACTGACTCTTGAGTCTTCTTATCATAATCACGACTCACCGAAGGCACCTTCAGGTTATGTACTAGACTAGGTGTCAGGGAAACCACACTCTGTACAAGCTGATATTATTATACTTGAGGCATGTTTTTATCCACAACAAGGAAGCTCTTGGCTTGTATCTCACCTGATGGTAAGTGATGATCAGGTCGAAGGTAGAAGCGAGCTTCACCCGGAATATCTTGTCTAGAATAGCCTGTTCCTCTGTGGTTGAGGAACCAAAGAGGAACTGGTTATTTTACATGTAACTGGCGGGAACATAACAATTAAAAGAAGGAAAACTCTGCCTCCCACTAACTAGCACTAGCGACTCTACTCAGTGGACCGACGATCTGGTGAAAGAAGTACCTAATTCTGGTGCAGGCAGCGCATGACTCGCCATTGTGGAAATCCTTGGAGGAGGCCTTTGTCCAGCAGTGGACGTCTTTTGGCTGAAACGAACGAACCTACTGTATTCTTGCCAACTGCCAATTAGCGTTCAGCAAACTGATCGAGGAACCGGAAGATGTTGAAGTAATTGAAACAAAGAATTCTCGCATTGAAATAATGTAGTTAGAATTGACCGTTCTATTTCCGGAAAAGTTACTGGATATACCTCACCAAACGAAATTGATAGACACTAGGAAACGGGGGTACTACTTATTTAGTTAAGTTATAATTAACCGAGGTTTAGACTAGCAATAAAACTTGCAGAAATTGACTTCCGCAAGCTGTCACCACTGAGTAAATCTTGCAGAAGTTGGCTTGCCACAGCTATTTTACACAGTGGTAAACAGTTTGCGGAAGTCAACTTCTGCAAGTTTAATTGCTAGTCTAAACCTCGAGTTACAACGAAAAGCGAAATTTATTTTTATTGCCTTTTTGTGGCCAACATTTTTTGATAAGCTGAGACCTAAATGTAAATCTCACACTCATGTAATAAAGCTTGTAAGTTGGTCTTTACTTGAAATTCAAGCCTGAATTACCAAATCATAATGTTAGAATATACTTAGTTTTTGGTGTAAAACACTATTCAAACAATGTTATTTGGGGTTTGCTTTTATTTTCCTTTATTACACAAAATGAAAAATATGCCCACCATAAGTTTCTTTAATTTCCGACTCTTGCTTGACTCGTTTCAAGAAAAAACTATAATTACACACTTAGCTGCGATATTTCAAATATTTGGTCGTCTGCTATAATTCTATAGTTAGTCTACATAAACGCGGATTAATTGGTTTTCGTCGTATCTGAGTTAAGTAGTGAGTACCTAACGTATGACTGAATTTTATTTCGAAGTTACAGGAAGAAGAAATTACGATTCCAATTTTTTTATTTTATTTTTGATCATAATCAAAAGCCTATGATTTTTGCATTGTTTTTTTTTGCAAACACAAGGATTTTACAGTATAGACCCAGGCGCCATAGTGCCACAACGTAGAATTGAAACTGTTTTTGCGGTTTACTTGACACGCTAACTGACCCTAAACGTAGGGTTGTAAATACAGTTTAAAATATAGCTTGTGACTAACGTCTGTCACCGAAACATATCTGGAAATAATACGAATAGTTTAAGACCTGCCTTCTTTACACAAATTTTGTTCATATGCCATTAACATAGAGTATAGTTGTTTAAGGTATTCAAAATTCACCACATCAGCCGAACTTCCAAAGGACATTATTTTAATGACACCCCTACTCACAATAATGTCGCGATTTGTAAATCTAGGTTCCAAGACTTTAGTATTCGCGTCGCGTACTGCGCTTGGCAGAAATTGGCCTCCTAATCATACGAAATCCTATTTTCTAAAGGTAAGACCAGACCAACGCGTGCAGCCGGCGTGCACGATGACGATGGCGATGGCGACCAGACAGCGTGTATGAATTTGTAGCGATGTGTTCACATCAACGCGTCCTGTCATTGGTCGCGGCGATCTATGNTCCATTGTCTCAATTGCATCAAAAGCTCAAAACAAATAATTTAATTCAGTTTCCATTTTGCCGAATAGGCGTGATTGACAATATGCGTGACAGTTGTGGTGACAGTGACAACCTGCACGCGCAGTGATCGCCATCGCGGTCGCGGCAGTGTGAAACAACTTTTGCACGCGCAGTGGTCGCCATCGCCATCGCCATCGCTGCACGCGTTGGTTTGTCCGAACCTTAAAAGTTTAGTGTTAAAGTGACACTTACCTAAATGATTATTCTGCAATCCACCACAGTGTTACCTATAAAGATGCAAAACGTTTTACCTAAAATATTAAAATGTGATATTTATTGAAGAGATAGAGTCCATAATTTCTATGATTTTGCAATTAAGATCTTTTCATGGAAACTCCACAAATTTAATTTCAAGCTTCAGAGTATCGAATATTTCGTGACACCCAAAGTGGCCAAAAAGTTGACTTCAGAAACTTTAGGCTGGGTTGCACCATCTTACTTTGACTGTAAGAAACGTCAAAAATCTGTCAAACTACATACAAAAATCACCGGTTATCGTTATAATCAAAGTTTGGTGGTGCAACTAAGCCTAAGGTTGGGTTGCACCATCTTACTTTAACATTGACAAACGTCAAAAATCTGTCAAACTTTATACAAAAAGCACCGGATAACGTTATATTTACGGTCAAAGTTAGGTGGTGCAACTCAGCCTAAGTATTCCATTTTTAACAAAAACGTGTTGCGAACTTTTGGCAACTTTGAGTGTCACGAACTCTCAGATCATAGAAGGGAATAGATGTGAAACGGGGGCGTGGCGCGTGTCTCCGCGATATGCCCAGAAACGAACATCGGCCGCGTAGCTAGGTTAGTCGCGATTCAGTCGTACTAAGGAAATGTTCTCCGAATTTTTTGGATAATGCGTCGTTACGTGCAATAAAACAAGTGAAACGAAGAACTACAGGAACAATGGAGTCATTTACTACATGTAAGTATTGCAAATCCATTGGTATTTTGGTTATAAATAAAAAAAGCTTAACATTTTTACGAACGAATTCAGTGCCGTAACAGTTACTGCGATATCGAAATCAGTGGTGATAAAAATTCTAACACACTTGTACATTGACGATTTAGTTAGCAACCACTTTATGTCATGCTCAACTACTGCGCGATGTATTTAATTTCTTCCGATATCCACTATCGTGTGAAAATACACAGTACGGCCGCATGTGCCGGTCGTAACATAGTGCCGTGCTCGTGTTCTAATGCGGTTTCCTATTATCGATAAATAGAAGTAAATTATGATTTTCTATTTTGTAATTTTAAATAAAAAAAATATGTGTTACATGCGATTATAAGATTTTACAAAAAAAATAATATCAGTAGAAGTAATGAGTAACTGTCAACTATGTAATTACTATAAGAGCTAGTTGAAAGCCTAATATAGGCATTATTTTTGATAAACATATGCGGTACGCAGATCGCCATAATTAATCCTTCAAGGCCCGCGAATCTAGATACAATAGATAATCAATTGTTATGACATTAATTGATGCCGTCTGGGACTCAAGCGGTTAAAAAGTAAATGCGTGATAGTAGTTAATAATAACGTATAATAATAAAAAGGTTTTCATACATAAGCATTTTGTGAAACCAGTTTTGAGCCTTGCCCCTAGCGATTTAAAGTATCGATATCTTGTCGACTTCATTTTATCTTTGTTCTCTCACTTTTTTTCAAAGTGTGCGTCACGTCACGCGGCCATTGATTGGCCATAAGGCACGCCTTCTGGCCAATCACAGCACTTTTAAGCCGGTTGCACATGTTGTCGTAGACTCTCAGTCGCTTTGTTTTTACACAGTTGAATGTGTGTGTGGGAGCTGTGGTGGGGGAAATGTGGGGACACTGGTTCTCGTTGTAGTTACGCGCGACTTCATATCTATTCTCTTTCTATGATCTGAGCACGAACTACTTGACGCTTGACTGTACCTCGGTAAAACACCATGTAAAATTAAAAATTCTATGATCCTAACGTAATTCAGAGTTATTATTTTTGGGAAAATCCTCAACATGAAGTACCTATGCTCAACCACAAAATCGAACCACGAAGGCTCAGAACCCGGCAGTCTAACCACAGCAAAGAGTTAATAGTACAAAATAAAGCAAGTAGAAAACTGAGATCAAAGCGATAAAAGTTAGCCAAACAAATTGTTTCTAAGTTCATTCAGTGCTTAGCACTGCTGACCTGGATACTTAGCGTGACACAAAAAACCATAAAGAAAAACAACTAAGTAAGAACTAATACTTAAACCACAGTACACACAGTACCCTGGAGAGGCCCTGCTATAAACAAAATCGTGAAGAATGTTGACTTGTGACCTTATAAAATACCTACATAGACAATCTCCAAAATATCGATGTCTGCAATTATTTTAATTGCAGGAGTAATGGTTCCGAACGGGAATCGAAAAACGAAAGTGGCGGTGCATTCCATACGCAGTCCTGCCACCTGCCATTTTGCACAAAAACTTCAATCGATTTCACACTGGCCTAACTGTAAACGAGTTTCTTACGATCGGACGTCTCAAGACCATATAGTTATTGGCATGGCACAATAGACAGGCAGTGCACGCGATTGCCTGCCTTCATTCGGTCTCCGACATTCCGTTAGTCAGTAACTGACACAGTCTTCACTTTCCTTTACGCTGTGCGCCCGTGAACTCCGCTATGCAGTAAAAATTCAACCGTTTCCGAACGCTGCTGGATTGACTTGACATAACTTTTGGAGGGAAATAGAACAAAATGGCGCGCAAAAGTTTTTTGTTCTTCGTAACTCTTGTGCTTGTGTTTTCGTCGTGTGAAATGAAGAGAAAAATTAAGGACTATCCAACGGAGAAGCAGCTGACTTTGCAAAGGAAGGAGACCACTCCTGTTGACTTTACCAGGTTGGTGGTGATGAGACTGGTGTACGGGTTCGCGAAAGTGCTGGGCTTCGAAGAGCCCATCAGTGAAGTGATGAACGGTGCTTTCGTCCCACCCGGGGCGGACGATGATGACTTTGATGATGACGATGACGGTATTTTTGACGACGATTATTAGTTTAGACAATTTATTTATTCATAGTTTTAATTAATGATACCAAATAAAATGCATTTATACAATGTAATTTATTAGAACGGGTCAGTTCATTGTTAATAAATTACCTGTAACTTTTTATTTTCCGTAAGTAATTCTTAATTTATATTTAAGGTTATTGTAAACCTAGTTCTTGGACGTAATGTCTCAATTTTTTAGCTGTTGTATTTATTAATTATTTATTAACTGATCATGTACCTGGTAGATATTACTGTTTTTGTAAATATACAACTTTTTTACCTTAACTTGCAGTTTCATTATTTTATATTAGTTATTATCACTTTTTTATTTAAGAAACATTGTTTAGAAATTGATAACTTATTTTTTAAGTAACTTTTATTTGAAAATGACTTATTTTTTCGTGATTTGGGCAATCTCTCAAAGCAAAAAAGTAACAATAAAATTCAGTAAATAATAGCAATAACATAAATTTTAATTAAATGTCATAAATCATCATTACAATCAAGGAACCAGCGCGAGTTGTTATCAACGAAGCCTTTATCTTGCGAACAAATTACATCATCATCACTCTCCTGATCATCGCACGGTTGATCATCGTCTTGATCACTATTTTCATCATCGTTTTGCTTACAGCCTTTCATTTTCCTTATAAGATCGCCCCATTTCAATTTTGTGTCACAGAAGGGACAGTTACCTTCTATGGGGATAAACTCCCCTGGAGTCAAAAATAGTTTAGCTAAGCAAGTGATATGAGCTATGAGCTCACAGCTAGAATTTAGACATGTTAGTTTTGTCTGGGAATTCGTAATATAGTTGGAACATAATAAACATTCGTCAGTGGTATGTTCTTCTGTAGATTCTTTAGATTTCTTGAGATTCCTGCTTTTGACTGGACCATGGCGTACAACCATGTGCGATGGGGGTGTCCGATCAGCCTAGAACAAAATCAATGGATTATGTAGCACAGGCATCAGGTAAATTAGAAGAAATTAATGTTTCTTTATTTATTAATATTTTCGAAACTTTGATATTTCAAAAACATAATTTTTTCGTCAATTTTCAGATGTTTTTAATAGTTATTTTGCTATTCGGGACGGAAACAATACGAGTAGACTGACATAGAACAACACCGACTTTTGTACTATACGCGTGCTCACCATAAGATTCGTCCCATCGGAATTCAAACCCCAAACCACAGTTGGCGTTGTCAAATTACCTATACAAACCACTAGGTCAGGCGGCCAAGTTCATAGCTGACATTTTAAGTAAACGCTTTCTATGTAGGTGGGTACTGTATGTGGAGCATGTCAATTGTTTTTTTTATATACTGTGTTGTGTTTTATGTTATCTATCTTGTCTCAGTAAATAAATATCACCTTGTTAGTCTTTGGCAGCCAACTGCATCAAGCACGAATAAACGTCATAGCAGACTTATCAACTCGGAAACGGATCAACACCGTATCGCTTTTCGCGTGCTGTCATCGCCTATCGCGGGCTGTCAACCGCTAGGCGAGGCGTTTACATTACGGTGCGGATAAGTGTGGGTTGCAGTATGGAGTTTCATTTATAGAATACTGACCGAAAACGATCCCTATCAGAGTTGATAAGTGTGCTACAACCTTAACTCTCGTAATCGTATTCCGTAAACGACTATGGCGGCGCTGTTATGGTTTTCATACAAAATATTAGGATTATCATACCACCACGAGAGCGAGATTTATTTGTGCTAGAGGTACTGGTCTACGGTTTCACGTAGCTACAAGCCGACAACAACTGTATTGCGGGATCGAGTCCCGATGGAGCCAAATATTGGTGAGACGAGCATTATGCTTCAACCACACCAACGCGTGCAAATCGCCATCGCCGGGGCGATCACAGCGCGACAGCCAATGACAGGTCGCGCGGATGACGATTCGCATGCGTTTTTGACTCAGTCTTGGAGATAATAAAATCAGTTAGCATTGATAAGTTGATATGATTTGATCCAGACTTATTGTTATTGTTATTGTTAAAGCTGTTTAATTCATTTATAATACTACCTTTTGCCCACGGCAACACCCGCGAAATATTCAATTTGTCAAATTGTCACAGATTATTATAAAATATAGCCTAAGAGTAGGCGCACACCGTTGATTTTTAGTTGGCCGATAGTTGTGCCCGATTTCATAGTTGTGCCCGATTTCAAATTGTATGAAGAATCGGCCAAATCGAATCGGCGTAGTGTGCGCACTCCCATACATGCCCATACTGATCAACAGCCCGACTAATAGTCCAGTCAATGAATGCCTTAACGACGGTGTAGAGAGAAATCCGTGGAACACAATTTCTGACCTCGGGACTTTATTTAGCCTAGTTAGGTGGTGAACATAGCAAAAGTCCCCGCCCTTAGCTCTTGAGCCGGCGGGGAGGGGGGGGGTTTAAAGGTACCACTTTTCGGGTTTTCCCTTAATCCTCGGAAACTATGCGTCCTAGTGACATGACTACTATGAACCAAAAAAAGCTTATTCAATTTGCTACAGGTGAGACCGTCAAGTTTTTCTATATCTTGTATAGTTTTTGCGCCATCTGCTCTAGAAGGTCTGTAAAATTGGAAATTTTATTGTTGTCTTACATGTTCCTTTCAGGAGAAAATCGACTAAATCAACATTGAGCAAACACTATAGACATGCGGGAGCATGTTAAGCCTAGTTCCATGGAGGGGACTGCACCGTGCGTATATTTAGACGAACCAATTAGAGCCACTTTTGACTCCTCATCATTCAAAAACTACTGTGCATTAACACTTCAAATTTGGCTCATGTATTGAGACTTTACAAATGTTTTTTCCCGCTAACTCCCGTTCCCGTGGGAATTTTGCAATATCCTGTTGTAACTAAGCTTTAAGTTTACCAAGGTACCTGCATGCAAAATTTCAAGCGTCTAACTTAAGCGGCTTAGATTTTTCATACAAAAGGATTTTCCCGCGAATTCCCGTTCCCGTGGGAATTTCGGAAATTCCTTGTTGTAACTAAGCTTTAAGTTAACTAAGGTACCTACATACCAAATTTCAAGCGTCTAACTTAAGCAGTTTAGATTTTTCATACAAAAGGATTTTCCCGATAATTCCCGTTCCCGTGGGAATTTCGGGAATTACTTGTTGTAACTAAGCTTTAAGTTTACTAAGGTACCTACATGCCAAATTTCAAGCGTCTAACTTAAACGGTTAAGATTTTTCATACAAAACGATTTTCCCGCTAATTTCTGTTCCCGTGGGATGGGATTTCCTAAGTACCTATACTATAACCTGCCCAGGAGTATGAAAAATAATTGTACCAAGTTTCGTTAAAATCCGTCGAGTAGTTTTTTTTTTTTTTTTGGAATTTTGATGGCCAGAACTGGCACATGACTGTGGCCAGAAATGGGGTAAAGCTGGCCAAAAATGGCACAAATTCCCATTTCTTTTTCTTTTCTACAGGATTATTTTTCCATTGAATCATTATGAAAAAAAATGTATCCTTAGGCTAGATCTAAATATATTTAATCACTTTTTACAAGAAATAAGTCCGTGATAACAAACACTGTAAAATGATATAGCCTCAAAGTCTAAAAATTCTTAAAATGGCCAAAACCGGGTCACCTGCCCTACATAAAAATTTTATAGAAATTGTCACATTGACACGTAGATTTGCCATCCCTGATATAAGCTATATTTTATAAAGATCTGTGAGAAACTGATTTTATACAGGTTGAAATTTTGTAATGCCTCCTGGAGGGAGAAAGTACTCTTAATACTGTAGATAGAAAATTTTACTGAAAGAAAACATTGAACTGCATTCAAAGATTTTCGAAAATTTTTCGAAAATTCTCTACCACACCATACAATTTTCTGTACATAATTAAAATAATTTGAGATTTCATGGTTACCCTTTCATTTGATTTATCAAGTTTGTTAGAGAGATTCCATCCTTATACTTAACTTAACCCTAACGATGGATGTAATAAAAATACAGGGTATAATTTTTAACAGATTTTATAGTCTATCCAATATAGCTTGATTAGAATGACGGCTGTCAAACAAATGTGACTAGTGATGGGTATGTTTCGTACGGTTCACATAGATGTATCGATAAGTTTTCGAAAAAATGATATGAAAAAATGCACACAATTTTTCTTCATATCTTTATTCATAAAAATGACAATTATGATTTAAATTTAAAGACAGTAAACCTAAGTAGATGTACAACCTAAGTCGTAGTCATTATCATCAGTGTTCTTCAGTGGTTTTTTCCTCTCGCTAGAGGGCGGTGGGCAACTCTTCTAGAGCAACGGTGCTATGAATACCCAAAAAATTACCGGTGATCGATTTCCGATGTTTGATTATTTAAGAATGAAATGTTTTTTGGTTTTTAATAGTGAACATTTAGAAAAACGTATAACTTGACTTAAATATGTTAAAAAATTAGTTAGAAAAAAAAATTGTTAAATATGTTAAAAGAANTTACCCTATGTTCACGGTCTAGTTTTTTTGTAACATTAAAAATTTAAGTAAAAGCGTAATTTTTATTTTAGTTTTACGTTTCAATTATATCTTACAGATTTTAATGGGAGCTTTTGATAAATTTCTTGATGTCTACTTATTGCCCTATATCCTGAAACACATGATAGAATCGAAATTTGAATTTGAGGATATAGGGCATGCAGGTATGGCGAAACCTTGATGCATTAATGTGCCACTTTTCTAAAAAATATGTTTGTTGTAGTCGTAACAGTGCCATCAAATAGGTACCTACTTACTACCTTTTCAGAGTTACAACCCAACGCTCTTCGGTTGACGTCATCGTCTTAGCTACTAGCGAGTGACAGTATCTTATTCCACAATGGGCCCAACTGATGAGAGCAAATACGATAGCCCCATTCAACACATTATTCACTATTTTATTTCATATTGAATTTAATGATTAGTAGTGTGCCCTAAATATTGGGCTATCGGTAGCCATCCCTGGTGTAGGGACTCCCAAACTCTTCAGCGGTAATTGCTAGGGTCCGAGACAGTCCAATTTGGGCTAGTTTGTTTTAGTAGCCACAAGTACTTTTCACTGACACATAATGGCAAGGTTTTAAATATAGAGCTGGAAACTTCCCACATGCACCTTCTGGTAGAAGAGATTCGACTAGTTGGTTTGTTGTCATGAGTACTTTCCGGACTTGACAATTCAGCAACACTCAATCCAACTAATCCTACTAATATTATAGTTCGTTTGAGTGTTATCGGTACCCGCACGCACACTTCAATAATGATGCTCGGATTGCTCAGATCAAACTCGCCGCTCCCCGCACAAATATTGGTGGGGCGCGTCTTCTTGGATGAAACGATCTAATAAATGTGGGAAATTGTTAGCAAGGATGGACGATGGTGTGACCAATCACTAAATTCACAATTAATAAAATACTAGCTAACAATGTGTTTTGAATGAGGGCTATCGTATTTGCCCTCATCAGCTGGTGCCACTGTAGAGAAGGTCTTCACCTGTGCGATACTCCTCATTAATGGCATTAGGTGTCATTTGATGCCAAATCTATGACTAGGGCAAGTGACCCGGTTGTGGCCACCGACCCCTTTGTGGCCATTTAGAACTTCAAATCGTTATAACTAAGGCAAAGACTAATATATTACTCTATGGTTTACGGGAATAAAAATATCTAATATTAGCAACACTGATAGCGTTAACAGCTTTGATGTGTCAAGCTTCACTTCAATCCAACAAGTCATTATTTTTTGAGAAGCGTTAATTGTTTTAAGTCTTAGCAAAAAGGCTAAGGCGAGCGGGTGAGTAAACAATCATTATTTTCTAAATCCTTTTTATTTTTTTAAATGTTTATGTTAATCCTTAATAAAGAATACACTGTCTAAAGGTTCGGACAAACCAACGCGATCACAGCGCGATCAACCGGCGTG